GACTGCGACCAGTCTAGAAGATGAGTTAGAGCGCGCTGGTGGGAGATACGAATCATTCCGAAGAAGACAGACTTGTGTCACACCATGGCCGGGGAACTGACAGGAAAGTTCCAGCTGGTCTCTCAGGAAAATCTCGAGGAATATCTCAAGGCGCTGAGTAAGAATTTTTATTTTCAGCAGCTTAAAGTTCAAGAAAAGCCGAAACTTTTCACAACGAAAAAAAGTTTTGGCTGTAAATACACTTTAAAAGAATTGAGCCGTGGAGGAAAATGTAAACTGCTATTGTTGCCTTATCCTTTTAAAAATACTATTTGCCTGGCTGTCATGCTTATCCCCTGGCTTCAGAACATTCCGACGTCCAACTATGCAGATCAGGAGTTGTGAGTTCACTCCAACCCAACGTGTTACATTGTTGCAGAGTTAGTGACGGTGAAAAGTATTGAAACCAAAGGCTGCCAGGGCAGTATTTACAGATAGAGGTCAGTCTCAACCAGGGGCGGACTGACAACTCATGGGGCCCCCGGGCAATAGGGGATCATGGGGCCCCTGTGTCTCAAAAAAGCCTATGAAAAAGGTACCAGGGGCATCTCATGGGGCCCCCTACTGACCCCGGGCCCTCGGGCAGTGCCCGAGTTTCCAAATGGCCAGTCCGCCCCTGGTCTCAACACTATATTCATATAGTCAGTAGTGCTTTAAAACTTTAAAATAAACTCATCAAGAAAGTAATAAGGGCTGCCATCCCTGACCTGTTTCTGAAAATTCTCGATGCCTGGCTGTCCTGATTTTTTTGACAACTTGAAATAGGTACTCAGATAGGAGTTGGTAGGCATTAAGCTAAAGTTAATCATCTTATATTTTGCCTTTACCGCCACCCCCCCCCCCAACATGATAATGAAATATTTAAATAAAACCTTTCTAGTTTAGACCCAGTAACATGATCATTGGATCTCTGTACTTCTCTATGCCATGCAGGCAGATCATGGCAGGTGGGAAGAGTCGGCAGGGTGCGGAACTTCCTGATAACATCACAGCACCCTGCTTCCAGACTCCTCTCAAGCGCCTTCAGCCCTGATGCAAGCTGTGGGCTGGCTCTTGGCAGGAGTCATGTAAATATTATAATGCCATTATGGGTAGGTGTCAGTCTGGAGGAGTGGGAGTTCCTAGGTAGATTGCAAGCAGACCGCCCTAGGTAACGCCCACATGTGAACTGAAATCCAGTGAATAAAAGGGGCTGGCCAGGGACAGTCAGGCTGGGAAGGATAGAATGGATGATGCTGGATGTCCTCCAGCCGGGAAAGGAGGCAGATTCTGTCTGACCTGCTGCAGCTTCTAATGCACATTGTGAGAAGGTCAACAAGCCTGGAATGTAGCCTCTCACATGCAGAAACTGGTGTGGCACTGAAACTCAGAATCAGCCTATCTACTCTGTGTTTTAGTCCCCGGCAGTTTCTCATCTGCCATGCAACAGGACCTCTAACTATCTATGGGCCATCGGATGCTTAACCTGGCTCTAGCCTATGCTGGTTATTGAGCTCCAAGCTATAACTAGCTTTAACCATTTCAATACCGGGCACTTTTACCCCCTTCCCCCCAGGCCAATTTTCAGGTTTCAGCGCTCTCACACTTTGAATAACAATTGCGCGGTCATGCAACACTGTAACCAAACTACATTTTTATCATTCTGTTCACACAACTAGAGTTTTTTTTTTGGTGGTATTTAATCACCACTGGGGTTTTTATTTTTTGCTAAATTAACAAAAAAAGACCAAACATTTTTAAAAAAATCCCCACCTTTTTGGAAATAAGTAATTGTTCTTCATAAATTTAGGCCAAGATGTATTCTGCTACATATCTTTGGTGAAAATAACTAAAATCAGTATTTATTATTTAGTCTGTAGGAAAGTTCAAACTATGGGATAGATCTGAAAATTGATCAATCCTGAAGTACTGACAGCCAATCTAATTTCTTGAGGCCCAAAAATGTCAGAACAGTACAGATATCCCCCAAATGTCAGAACAGTACAGATCCCCCAAATGTCAGGACAGGACAGATATCCCCCAAATGTCAGGACAGGACAGATATCCCCCCAAATGTCAGAACAGGACAGATATCCCCCAAATGTCAGGACAGGACAGATATCCCCCAAATGTCAGGACAGGACAGATATCCCCCAAATGTCAGGACAGTACAGATATCCCCCAAATGTCAGAACAGTACAGATATCCCCCAAATGTCAGAACAGTACAGATATCCCCCAAATGTCAGAACAGTACAGATATCTCCCAAATGTATCAGATATCGCCCAAATGTCAGAACAGTACAGATATCCCCCAAATGTCAGGACAGTACGGTCAGAACAGATATCCCCCAAATGTCAGAACAGTACAGATATCCCCAAATGTCAGGACAGTACAGATATCCCCCAAATGTCAGAACAGGACAGTACAGATATCCCCCAAATGTCAGGACAGTACAGATATCCCCAAATGCCAGGACAGTACAGATATCTCCCAAATGCCAGGACAGCACAGATATCTCCCAAATGACCCCTTTTTGCAAAATAGAAAGTATTTCATAACAGGCATGGCGAGTTATTTGAAGTTGTAATTTTTTTGTCATACTTTTTTGGAAAATGAAGAAATTAAAAAAATTATTTTCACAATTATTTTTTTACATACTGTCACCAGTGCAGTACAGCGTCATCATATAACTGGTGTGGCGGTGATCAGGAACACTGACTGGTGATAGTATGAAAAAAAAAAATTGATAATTTTTAAATAATTTTCTTTTAAAATTTATTATTTTTTTATTAAATTTTTTTTTTCTTTTTTAAGATTTTCTTTTCATACTACACTATGACCAAAGTAGTATAATGTTACCATAGTAACATTGTACTTTTTTGGGGAACTGATCAGTAATTTTTTTTTTTTTTTTACACACAATTTGACTGCTTATATTAAAGAATTTCTTTGCTATAAGCAAGCATTTAACTGAATGAAATCGATTCATTCAGGTTTTTTTTGTTGTGATTAGCTGTGATTGGCCACAGCTAATCACATGACACAGATGGGCTGTGATTGGTCCAGCCTGTGCATGTGATCACTGTGACCATTCACAGATAAACACACTTGTATACAATGGATGGCATGAAAGGAAGCCATCCATTGTATACAACTGTCATGTGACCTGCTGTGATTGGTCACGGCAGGACACATGGTACTGGCAACAGGGCCGATACACAGATCTGTCATTGGCTGTGTTCGAGGTACACAGCTGGTGACAGATCTCGCTATAGCGCAGCCCTGCGGGCATGCGCAAAGCACGGTCCAGGAAGGACGTCATAAGACCCCCACCCGGATCGACGAGAATCCCGCCCGGATAATAGGAAAATACGGTGGTAAAAATCCCAGACTAGAAAGGACAGGGTTAACTAAAATAACAGAAGCTGCATATAAACTCTATGACAATAAACAGGTTTACCTATCTGGAAAGGTGACCACTATACACATACAGTACAGGAACACAGGCCTAGCTCTCTTGCACTGTGCATGTGAGATAATAACAATAGGACAGAAATAAGTCAGCCACAAGGATTTAGATACACACTCAAGAAGCTACGGGCAAAAAATAGTAAACTACTAACATGTGCACTTCTTCCCAAAAAATCCCTTCTGGTGTGGATTAGCAACAGATCTCCCATGGGGGACATGTGGTCTCAAATGAAATCTCTCTCACTACTTCCTTCCTCTGGGGTTTTAAAACCAAGACACCAGGGACAGGAAGTGATATAGATCCCTGCATTTATACATAGGAAACAATTGGTTCTTGTACTGGTTGGAAAATCTTTTCAGTGCTTTGGATAGTAGGTTGTTATTTCCCAGTAGGTAGGTTACATAGCACTCAGCTGATAGCCATAGATAATGTGCCAATCAGGCTGCTTATAACCAATGAAGATGAGCCGTTCACACTTTGAATAAGTAATGGAGATCAGCCAATCAGGATGTGTGTAACCTATTAGGATAAGCCATTTAGGCTGTGTACATTGTATAACCAATAGATATGAGCTGGTCAGACTGTATGAGCCAATTAGAGTGTGTATACCAATGAAGAAGAACCAGTAAGGCCAGGTACAACTAATAGAAATGAGCCAATCAGGTTGTTTCTGAGAAAGAGAAATGAGGCAATCGGGCTGTGTAATACCAATGGAGAATGGCCAATCGGGCTGTGTAATACCAATGGAGAAAGGCCAATCAGGCTGTGTAATACCAATGGAGAATGGCCAATCAGGCTGTGTAATACCAATGGAGAATGGCCAATCAGGCTGTGTAATACCAATGGAGAATGGCCAATCAGGCTGTGTAATACCAGTGGAGAATGGCCAATCAGGCTGTGTAATACCAGTGGAGAATGGCCAATCAGGCTGTGTAATACCAGTGGAGAATGGCCAATCAGGCTGTGTAATACCAGTGGAGAATGGCCAATCAGGCTGTGTAATACCAGTGGAGAATGGCCAATCAGGCTGTGTAATACCAATGGAGAATGGCCAATCAGGCTGTGTAATACCAATGGAGAATGGCCAATTAGGCTGTGTAATACCAATGGAGAATGGCCAATCAGGCTGTGTAATACCAATGGAGAATGGCCAATCAGGCTGTGTAATACCAATGGAGAAGGGCCAATCAGTACCCTGGGGGGGGGGGGGGGGGGGGTGTCAGAGAAGGGTGCTTCCTCTCCAGGAGGAGACCAAAGACACACTTTTATGCACGTGTTCACATGCATTTTTTTGGTACAGTTGATGTTTAGGTTTTGCGCACTGCATTGCAGATAAAAAATACTGTAATATGGGTTGAACACTACAGTTGCTGCACCCCTGAGAATCTCAAGTATCCCCAAAGTAAGTCAGACTTTGTATCTCTTTTCAGATGTTAATGTGGCCTTGCGGAAAATCGTGGTGCTGCTGCTGAAACCGGAGAAAGAGTTTGTGGCGGACGGGGACCACATGATAATCAAGACGCTCAGCACCTTCAAAAACTACATCATGGATTTTACCTTGGGCGAGGAGTTTGAGGAGAACTTGGCCATCATTGATGGGCGAATCTGCAGGGTAAGATACACAGGAGGGGACTGGTCACAACTTTCAAGTATGATGATGATGGTTGGTTGGCCAATCTGGCTAATTCTTGAGAGATTAGTCAACCATCTCATGTCTATAGTAGATGGTGGAGGACGCTTCCATGCCAACTCTTCTCAAGTGGACCCATTACTGCTAGAAAGACCACATACATATTTGGTTTTAGAGGCGTCCCCCACAATAATTTAGGACATGCTGTCTTACTTATCTTTATTGCAGAATCTGCACTCTTATACCCCTATTTTCCCTTTTGCTGCTGTAAATTGTATCCAAAAAACCTGCAAATATAATCACACTTCCTTACAGTACCAAAAATATGTTATGGATTATGTAAGCCCAACATTTCCTATTCCTGATACCATGTACTTGTATGAAGAAGCCTCCTGTTATCTTTGTATTGCTTCCTTTGTGTGAAATCCCCATTGTTGCTGCCAGTCCCTCTGCATTCCTATTAAAAACTGACCACTCTGGGCATGAGAGCACAGCATGGTCAGTTTTCTAGCTGAGCCTGCTCTCCTCCAATGATCAGACTTGCCCTGATACCCCCTTCCCTTGCACAGCTATTCGCTTAGAAGATCAGTGTGCTGTTACTTCTCCTCCCCCAGCTCTCTGTGCAGCTGAGAACAGAGCGAATGTGGTCATTCACTTATTCCCTCCCTGGTTATATCTAGCCTTGACTACTGTAAGTCCCTCCTCATTGGCCGACCTCATCACAGGCTATCCCCTCTTCAATCGATCATGAATGCTGCTTCCAGACTTACTAACAGTTCCGTATCTGCCACCCCTCTCTGCCAATCCCTCCACTGGCCTCCACTCAGTGTCCTCCATCCCTCTCTGCCAATCCCTCCATTGGCCTCCACTCAGTGCCCGCCACCCCTCTCTGCCAATCCCTCCATTGGCCTCCACTCAGTGTCCTCCACCCCTCTCTCCCAATCCCTCCACTGGCTTCCCATTGCCCAATGGATAAAATTCAAATCATTAACAATAACATATAAAGCCATTTATAACTCTGCCCCAAATTACATCACCAATATTGTCTCCACATATCACCCAAACTTTCCTCTCCGCTCCTCACATGACCTCCTGCTCTCTAGCTCCCTTGTCTCCTCCTCCCATGCTCGTCTCCAGGACTTCTACAGAGCTTCCCTCATCCTCTGGAACTCTCTACCCCAGTCTATCAGACTATCGCCTACTCTGCTCACTTTTAGGCAATCTCTGAAAACCTTTGTATTGTTGCTGTATCGTCTCCCATTATATTGTAAAGCACTGAGCAAACTGTTGGCGCTATATAAATCCTGTATAATAATAATTTATAAAAAAAAAAAAAAAAAAAAAAAGGAAAAAGGGTATTTATAATGTTTTTATATCCATACACAAATACTGTATTTTGCATTTCACTTCTTTGTTTTTTTTTTATACTGAATATAACAAGGTGAGGGTTTAACAAATAAAAATAAAATGATAGGGATAAGATTAAATCAATAAATATCCAAAATAAAATCTATAAAAAAAAAAGAATATATATTCATAAAATGCTGAAAGTAGCAAAGTTTCATTCTTCACAGCAATCAGTCCATCTGATATTGATATTCATAAAGTGCTTGAAGGAAATTTATGGTCACAGCATACACCTTCCTTCTATAACATCACAAACAGTTATTTCTGACAATCCAATAAAAGCGAACTTCAACAATCTCCCTTCACCTTGTGAGTGCTGCTGGCCATCTCCTTCCACAATTTCTTAGATTCTCTGCATGCTTAGCATCTTCTCCTCCATTTCTAAGGACTACATATCCCATGGTACCTCGCTGCCTGCAATCAGTGATTGCTGTCCAGACTCCGCCTCCTGAAACTCCTCCTTTCAGAAGGTGGGCTCTGTGAAATGTGTGACACAGCAGTGCCTGCATACAGGACATAGTGACTACAGGTCACAGAATTCCAGGAAGTCAATGGGGTTGATTTACTAAAAGCAGGGCCATCTTAATAGCATCAGGGGTCACTGGGCAAAGTAATGCTCTGGGGCCCCTACCAGTCTTCCTCAATTTATGCACCTACTCTCAAGAATTAAAGTATAAATAGTTGATAGAATGAAACTGATTTTTTAGTATTTTACCAAAATCAATTTTAAACAATGAACAAGAAAATGTGCCATAAATCCAAGACTAATCAACACAAAGGTGGGGGGGCAGAAGGGTACAGTATGGGCACAGTACAAGTTCCGGGATGCTGCACAGGACACGGCCATCCTGGGACAGCTTAGTAAAAAGCGTGACTGTCCCCAAAAATCCAGGACAGTTGGCAAGTATGATGTAATGCAAAATTATCTTGGGGCCCCCTATACACCTGGGGCCCCGGGGCACTGCCCAGG